ACTACTGTACTACTACTGTACTACTACTGTACTACTACTGTACTACTGTACCACTACTGTACCACTACTGTACTACTACTACTACTGCTGTACTACTACTACTACTACTCCTCCTCCTCCTCCTCCTCCTGCTGCTGCTGCTGCTGCTGCTGCTGCTGCTCTGCTACTGCTACTGCTACTGCTACTGCTACTACCACGACCACCACCACCACCACCACCACCATCACCACCTACTACCTACTACATGTTTGATGAAATCCTTAAAAATGTCTAGGGCTCAGGGCCTATAAATTGCCTTATTCAAAAACAATTAAAAACAATCAGTTGACAAGCTCACAAAGGGTACCCCTCACAAGGGCCGGTCCCCCATCAAAAATCTACACTACTACCCCCTATTAATTTGATCCTGTGTCCCTGGCCTTTTCTTTGTGCTTGTTTAAACTTGTTGTGGCTACTACTACCTACTACCTACTACTACCTACTACCTACTACCTACTGCCTACTACCTACTACCTACTACCTACTACTACCTATACTACCCACTACTACCTACTACCTACTACTACCTACTACTACCAACTACTACCTACTACTACCAACTACTACCTACTACTACCTACTACTACCTACTAGCTACTACCTACTACTACCTACTACCGACGACTACGACTACGATGGCTCCCTGAGCCGATAATTCAGGGGGGGTGGACCTCATGAGTGGTATCTCAGACCTTGTTGACCTTGTTGACCGACCATGTGGGGCGGGGGTTTATTAATCCGGGGTTGACATTAGCCTAAATTCTACAAGTGTGGCACCTGGGTACAGGACTCAAGATGGCATGATAATTCTTCTAACTGCTCGGGCATTGCAAGATTCTCGTCAGGTTGAATCAGACACAGACCAGCGGTTGTTGGAGAAGCTGGAAGGCTTGCTCTGGCAATGGAACATGTCCAATAACATTTGTGCCAGCAATATTGGCAGAGCCACCGACCAAAACTTTTTCGATTTGCAGCGTGATGGCGATTTAGCCAGACGACGTGGCCTGCTTGTGGTGGGATTTGTCGGGCGTTTTTTGTGTGTTTATATTGTGCAGTGATGCTTGTGCCTATTCATCACAACTTGACCCTATCATGACAATTTCTGCTGCAGGGCATCCACCAGTGCCTGGCCAGTCCAATGACAAACAAGACTAAAAACTATGACGCTGACAACGCGCAACTACAACACCAACATCATCACCAACCACAAGCACACGAACACGGCGCGCCATCCAGCGGCCCGACCGACGCCCATCAGCCTCCCGCCTGTGACAGTGGCCCGACATGACAGACAACAAACATTGACACACCAAGCACCACAACACACCGTGGCCCAGGGATGCCTTGCCAGTCGCTCGGTGCACCCCGACCGAGTTATCTTACCAGTGTACCTTGGTGGGGCTATATAGCTCGAAGTAGAATAGTGTGTTTAAAACTTAAAACCAGGCGCCATGGGCGCCACGGGCCTTGCCTTAAATAACGACCTCAACTGCCAGCAAAATGCTTTCTTTTGGAAGGACACTTCTATTTGTGTAGATTTGTGTTCTGACTTTTCTGCCAGGCCAGCGTTTAGTCCGTTTAGTAGCCGTTGCTTTTGCCATGTTAGTGGCTCTGGTGATCGAAGCTGAGGGGTCTATGCACCAGAGTTCATATACATATTACATGTGTAAACATGTGTCGTTGTTTAAGCCTAGGGACTGAAAACCGGACCCACTTTTCTGACATTTTTGGACTCCACGACGCTTGGTCATGTCATCGCATGGTGTTGGGGGGGGTGGGGGGGTGGGGTGAGGATCAAATTCCCCGCAGTGGAGCGTGTAATGCATAGTATCCCTGGGCCCTGGATTCAACTCACAGTCCAACAAGGGGCGAAGGCGATCGAGCGGCTGTTTTCACACGCACATACCTTGAGCCAAATGTTATGGCATGTCAATGCATTGCGTAAGAGCATATCGCAAGATACTGTAACCAAGTTGAAGCAATAGCGTCAACGGGGGCCCAAAAACAGAAAACATGGGGGGGGGCTGTAATTTCGTTCTTGCTTTCACATACGTCTCATGAGCGTGAAGGCTCAAGACGTAGCCACGGTGTGTGCTTTAGTTTTGTTTCGGTTGTCCGGTGTTCCTTGTCCTCCTCGTTTTTGTGTTTTCTTCCTTTGTGGTGCGTCAGCCCTTTTTCTTTAGAACAGTACGTAGACGGCTTAACTCGTGACTGTTCTGACCCTTGAGTTTCTTTTGTTCACGAAACAGGTTTGGGTTCAGATCATGGCTGGGTAAACTGGGAACAGGTGTTAGAAACTCGTTTTTCGTTGTTCACACTTTGGTGCAATGTGTGGTTGAGGTTTTCTTTTTCGAAAAACAGAAACTAAGTCCTTTTCTGTTGGTGACTGTTGGTGTTGAGTTGGCGTTTGTTGCGTAGTTGTAGCAGCTCCATGTCGGATGGGTGCGCCGCCGCTGATTTGCTCGACAACGGCATCGATGAAAAAGACTTTCGCACGGAGCCTGCCTGGGGACAGCTAGTTACACAAAAAGCAGGCAACTTGAGGTGTCGCGAAAAAGACGTTTTTTATTTAGGCAAAACGCATGACAAAGCACTGCGTTTACCAATGAATTTGACATGAGAACCTGCAAAAGAGGGTACGGTTTCCAATCCGTACGGCTGTTTAAGCTACAGTCGGTAGATAAAGAATTCGCATTATCATCAAGAATCACCAAGCGTCAGGAAAACAGCCGAGATCGACAATGTTCCAAAGATTTGCCGCACTGGCAGCGAACCTGCCCGACAAAGCATTGAACAAAATCAACAGACGCACAAATTGTGAAACATGCACAAACGATATCCTGAGTGTGAGAGTGGCCAAGCCAATGAGCTGATGGTGTTTCTATCAAGACTCTTTTTGATGCTAGAAGATATTCTTACAGCCCGGGACGTTTTGACAAGTGCATTTGGTCAGGCAGCACCTGGATCAGGAAGCTGGATGGCAGCCCCATGGTGGGGGACCGCGAATGATCTGTGGTTTAATGTGCTTTTAACTGTATGATATTTGCCAGACCCAGCAATCTAAATCCTCTTTCACATACGACCTTTCACTACATGCGATTACCGAGCTTCCCATCAGGCCTAATAGACTAGACCCCATGAGACGCATGTGGCATCTTTTTGAGTTTCAGGTCATGTCGTA